AATTCAAACGCTTGAGTAGACAGAACAAACAACAGCCAGTTGCCAGAATAATTATTATTTAAATCTCATTAAATGCATATTTTATAGAACTTTCTTCAAGTACTTCCACAACTATCTGACAGACCTACTCTCTGCTCTCAGACAGGCCTTCCGCTGATCTCTGCCGCTATTTATAGCATCGTGATCTCGTCGATGTTAACTTTATTTGAAAGTTGTCAAATACAAAAAAATCGATACACAAATTATAACTTAACCACAAATGCAAAACCACACACAAAAAATAACAGCCCACATGCTGGCTGCGGTTGGTTTTCATTAACCCCCCCCCGACACACTTTGCTCATTTACGATTTCGATACGATTTGATTAGGCCTGAGGAGCAGACTTGGCGCCAAAAAAAAAAAATAAACCAACCAACCAAAGACCATGCAGGTGACAATAATAATCAAGTTGACCTATACGTAACCATTTGTGGCACACTTTATCGACCCACACACAAGCGAATTATGTTAATAATAATCGTTAAATGTTGGATCAACTTTTGTGATTTTTTGTCAAAGTTTAAAAATTGAAGCCCCTCCATTAGTGACAAATTTCCAGGTTTTCGAGGGGCGGTGGGGGGAATGGGAAACTCTGCAATTCATCAGCTGCATTATGCCACCAACAAAGCCTGTCCCGGGAGCGATTTCTCTGTCTCTTTCTCTCTCTCTCTCTCTCTCTCTGCAGCTGTCTGGGTGTCCAGATCTCCCTGTTCAAGTTTAGGCCACATGTAAATGGCAATTAAGTTGCCGTCGTCGTCGTCGTGAACTTGTGAACCATTCCCCCAACAGGCATCATCATCATCAACAGAGTTGGCAGCAGCAGCAGCAACAGCAGCAGCAGCAAGAGCAACAAAAGCCAGCAGCTTCGGAGATCTAGGAGGAAGTTCAGTTCCATTTCCATGTCTGAATGGTTCCTGCAATTAATCGCAGCTCAAGTGGCTCACTGATTGCAATTAATCTTCATTAAGGCTACTGCCCTGCCCCTGCCCCTGCTCCAGCCGATTGTCCGATTGTCCAACTGTCCGACTTCTACTTGTGGATATGTCCTTTGACATAGGTCTTTTACTTTACGTTTTTCCCTTCGTTTTTCCCTTCGTTTTTCTTTTACTTTATTTTTTTTTTGGTTTGTTTTGGTTTTGGGGCTTATCCTTACAAACCAATTTGGTGATCGTGAGGTGTTGTTGTCGCTCAGCAGCAGCAAACATCTACAACGGCAGCAGCATCAGCAGCAGCAGCAGCAAACAACTGCAACGACGACGGCGACGACGGCCAGGTGACCGCACAGCAATCACCTTAATTAAACATTAGGCAAGCCTCGCTGACTGCCAAAGCTTCTGGAGATTGTGTGTTGTGTGTTTGTGCGCTTGGCTTGGCCTGGCTTCGCTTTTCGGTTCGGTTCGGTTTGGCTCGGTTCGACTATGGCCCTCTCTCTCTCTGATCCAGTAGTATTTCTCTTCTCTCTCCTCTGTGCTGTATGCTGTGGTGTGGTGTGGTCCATGTCAACGATTTCCGTTGCACAAGGTAACAAAGGTTGTGCCAGCACAGTGGGACAAGAAATATTTAAGGGATTTTTAATGTGTTGAGCCTACTTTTGACCGAAACGATAATTTTTTTGGTATTATATTTCTGTAAATATTTTTCTATAATTTTTTTTTACTTCTTTTTCCTGAAGTTATCTGAAGATTTCTGGTATTTTTTTATTGTTTATTTTATTATTTTACTGGTCTATTTTCTTGGATATTTCTGGTTATTTATTCGCTAAATATTTTAGAATTTTACTATTTTTTTTTCTAGCGTTTTTTTCTTGTTATTTATTGTATTATTTGTCCTATATTTATTGTAGTCTTTCCACTTTTTTTTATAGAATTATTCTGCTGGTTTTCGTATTTTCTGGTATTTTTTTTATACATATTTTGTTGGATTTTTCATTTGTAAACTGTTGCCACTGTGCCGCCACTGAGTGTTCGCACTCCAAGAGCCTGGATCTCGCATTGCCTTAATTTTCTTGCAGTTTTTCTTGACTGTTTGACTTTCATTCCGTACCCATTACCCGGATACCCGGCACCCTGGATCGTGTTTTGTTGTTGTTGTCGGCGGTGTCAGCGTCGCCTCTCGTTGACAAATGCTGAAAGGCTTTTGTGTGTGTGTGTCGCGGCCCGTCTACGTTTTGTGATTTTTCATTGGAAAACGTGGAACGATCACCCAGGTTGATTTGATGACAAAGAAGGAGCAGGAGGAAAAACGGCAAATGGGCAAAAAAAAAAAAATAAAGTGAAATAAAATAAACGGGTCACGTTATTAATTGGTGAACCCTTGCCAAGAGATTTATGAATATTGATTGCAAGTGAAGTGCAACCAGAAGTGGCAGCAAGCAGCAGCAGCAAGCAGCAGTACCTACTGTCACCAGAAGCGCGACAGCTGCATTTGGCCCTGGCCTCCTCATAGGCTGGCGCTGCTGCTGCTTGCTGCTGCTGCAGTACTCTGAGAGATTGAGTCAGCTTCCTGTCGATTAGGGTCACTCAGCTGTGTGGCAATGCGAATGCGAATGCATTGACTGACTCCCTGCCCCCTCTCGTGGCTCTCTGTGTCGGTCAGTCGGGGTCATTTCCTGGCTAATTAGTTGCCATGAGAGATTTGCTTTTTTTGCTCTCTGCATCTCCATCCAGCAATTAAGCGCCGTCGTGTATTTATGATATTAATTAATTAAGACAATTTGTGTGTCGTATTGCCATGTGGGAAATGCGAGCACTGCAATGGGATGGGGTTTTTGTTCTTTAATTTTACTATGGAAATACGAGCCGATTCGTGTGGCATTGTATTCCAAGGAGAACATTCTAAAGAATAATGAAATTAGTTTTCTGGTTAAAGGCCAGGCAGAGGTTCTACTTTTGATTTTTAATTGATTTAGGGGGTTACAAATAGTAATTTGAAGCTGCAATTGGTTTGAAATTGATAAAAGTAAAGTAAATTAATGTGTCTGCCATTCTTTATGGGTTGTTTTAAGTTATACTTGCATGCCAAGATCTTCAGAAAATGTGTTTTATTTGATCTTTTCTAACTGGATAAATTAATTGCACCAACTTTTCAAAACGAAAATGTACTATTTTATTTTTCTGGAATTTATTGAATTCTTCATCCTATATATTTTACTGTTTTTATTTTTGTTTTTGTTTTTTTCTGCTATTTATTCTATTGTTTTTCAGTTTTTTAAATATTTTTGGTTTGGTTTTTTTTTGCATTTATTATTTTAATATTTTCTCTAATCTTTACAGTAATTTCTGATACTTTCTAGTAGTTTTTCTATAATGAATGTAGCACCAATCAATGGAATTAAAACAGTATCAATTATGGATTTGTTGCAAGTTTCAGCTATGTGAAAAATGTATTTCTGTAGTGTTGCAGCCAAACTTTGACCAACGAATATATATACATATATATTCTATACAAAGTCTTTGATATTTCATAAAATATCAACCAAGAATGACATTAACACAATTCAGAGCCAACATTTTAATTGAATTTTGAGGCGGAAATAGCACCGTTAGGCCTCGATCGAAACCACAAACTATATAATTTAATTTATACGCATTTATGCGCCCCACCCGCACTCGTACACTCCTCCGCCCATTTCCCTTTCCGACGTGTTCGAACGGTGCTGCCAACATTGACACACTTTGGGTGGTCTTGGCGGCATCGGGAATTTAATTTTTTTTTTTTTGGCAAACAACCGCAAGAAAGAAGAGCGAAACCGAAACCAAAAACCGTACCGATACCGAACTCACGTCGGAATCTGAGGCGAGTAATCGATGAGACGTGCGGGCACACACCTGTTGCATACACAGGAACACACACAGCAAAAGTAGCAGCAGCAGCAGCAGCGAAAGGGCGCAGCAGCAGCGGCAGCGGCAACAGCAGCAAGTGCCGGACGATGCACTGCATCATTTGCAGCAGCAAATTTCAATTTCAGGCTTTTGGCAACATTTCAAAAGAGCGACTGCCTGACTGACAGACTGCCGGACGGGACGGAACGCAACGGAACGGACTGTCGTCTGTATTTGAAACAGTCGTCGGGCGCCAGGCAGCAAGCAGTGCATTTGAAGGCGCCATCGAAAAATTGCCAAGCGAACGGCATTAAAGTGCGCGAAATATGTTATTATACACTTCAAAGAAGAGGGTAATGTGCGTGTTCAAAAGAGGTTTGTCTTTGAAATAAAGAAATATTATAGTTCAATATTTATGCATTTTATATTATTTTCATTTTATTTATTGCTTTAAATTGGAATCTTTCTATTCGAAATATGGCATAGAGTCTTCTTTTTGCTGTAGTAATCGTCTGGATTTATTACTACATTTATTTATCTATCATAGCAAAGATCTTGCCCCAAGAGTATCCACAATTTCGATGCTAAGGATACCCTTTTTTGCTTGCTTGTTTTATTTCCATTTTATTTATTGAGCCATTAGAGCGAGGGCGGGGGGGACAGGCTATAGGAAGGCAGAAAGGCTGTGTGCTGTGGAGGCAGAGTTTTTTTTTTTTTTTTTTGACTGTCAGCTCATTCACAGATTAATTTTGGCAATTTATAGCCGACGAGATAGTTTTTGAGTAACTGCATCCCATGGACATATGCCGCATGGAGTGCGCGGAGACTGTGAATTATGTAATGAGAGTGGGGCAGAGGCAGTGGCAAGTGGAAGCCTCCCAGACAACCGCTCCAAAACAGCAAACAGCAAAAGACATGAAGCAAAAAAAAAAAAAAAAAAAAAAAAATCTGTCATAGATACCCTGGGAAAATTCAAGTAAATTATGAAATTCATATCGGAATGTCATAATTAATTTTGTCGATTAATATGTATGTGGAAGAAATTAGAGAAACCGAAAATCAATGCCAAAGATGTCGAACAGAAGGATCGTCGCCTTAACGAAAGTGAAAAATGATGGTGGGACGGGACGGGACTCACCTGTGCCATTGCTGCCAAACCAAAGGGCCACTAGGTCCTCGCTTGGCGGCGTATGATGATGATAATGATTGCCGTACAAATATGGATTGGGATAATCAAGCAGGACACGACGCGTGCCAGGCGATGAGGACTCGGCTAAGTGGATGAAAGGAGGATGACAAGGAGAGGGATACGCTATAGATATCATGACATAAATCTATAAAAAAGAGCAGCTCAAAGGTACGAACCTTGTGCTATGTGTGCCGCATATTCCGTGGCTTTTTGTAGATTGATGCGTGGTCGTGGCTTTGCCACAATTTGTTGCTGCAAATGTTGCGACTGTTGCTCTTGCTGCTGCTGCTGTTCTGTTGGCGTAGGATTCGAAAGATTTTGATTTGCTGCTGCCGCAGCGGCGGCCGACGAGTCCAATAGCAGTTGTTGCACCTGCAATATGTCCACGTATTCGTCCAATTCCACCGAATGCTGGGGCTGCTCCGTGTGCCCGCTGACGCTTGTGTCCTTTGCCAGACCCGAGGGATGATGCTGATGCTGCTGCTGCTGCAGATATGTTGTGGCGGCGGTGGTGGGCGTTGCTCCACCTGCACTCGTGCTAGTGGGTTGATGGTAGTAGCCAAAGGCCGGACTGCAGGCTGTGGGCGCAGCTGTAGCGCCCTGCTGCACGGCAATGGGCGGTGGTGCCGGTGGGGCGGCAAACTGAAGAGGATTACGACTTAGTCCGAGCAAAGGGGTTGTGGGTGTATTCAGAGAATCCTGCTGCGAGGTGGATGGTGGCACTAAGCTGAGACCTTGACCATTCAAACCGAATGATGTGCCTGTTGCTGCTGCTGCTGCTGCTGCTGCTACTCCTGTTGCAGGTGGCGAGGGTGTACCACCATGTGTGGCAGATGCCGCTGCAGTTGTATGTTCTCCCACCGATGTTGTACCTGGATGCTGCTGACTGCCTATCAATTCATTCTGTGGCCGCATTGTCAGCAACATTTTTGTGATTGAACAGAACGCTGAACGTTAACCGAAACGAAAATAAACGAATATTGTTGTTGAAAAATAATAAAGAAAAACACAAATTATTGGGCTGAAACTCCATTTGATTGTTGTATTACTACACTTTTCTAAATAATAATATTGATTGGTATTTAGACATTTTGTGGCACTTTTTTTTTTCGCTTTTTGCTCTATAGTTTTGATTGTTTTTAATTTTGCTCACTTTTTGCAGGTACTTTTTGAAGTTTTTATCGTTGTTTCAATCACTGTTATTACTTTATATACATTGTTGCAGTATTGTTTAATTATTTTCTTTATTTAAATTGGTTGCTTGTTGAAATTTTGTTCATTTTTTTATTGTTTCTTTATTCAAATATTTTTCATATTTGTATGTTTTATGTTTTCGATTTAATTTTAGTAGATATTTTCACATATCTGTTGCTATTATTTAAGATTATTTTTGTTGCTCATTTTTTCACATATTTTTGGTCACTTTTGATTAGTTTTTCTTAATGTTTTAATTTTTGCACTTTTGCAACCTTTAAGGTTGATCAAATCAGTCCTTCTGGATTGAATTGGCTATCGCTTTGATTAATACAGCTGCTTGAAGATTGAGTAACACCTGAAAAAAAATATTAAAGAAATGTATTAATTAATATTAATTAAATATTTAAGATCATCATTGAAATAAAAGAACCTTCACCCAATATAATTATTCAAATTAACCAGTACTTAAATATTTAGTTACATTATGGCATCCTTACCTTTTCTTTGAATTAAAATTTCCTCTAACTCTTCACTTAATTTTACTCTTTGGGGGAAACAATGTTATTTTTTCACCTTTGATTCCAAATGATTTAAACCTTAATATTCTAACACCAAAAATATTTATAAAAACTGTATTTTTTATTAAAGACTACATTAAAACCAGACTACAGTAAAACATTCTACAGTAAACTGACACTTCTGTAAAATTACTCCACAGCAATATGAAACTACAGTAAACTGACACTACAGTAAAACCACACTACAGTAGATAAATAGTCAGACATCGAAAGACACATCAAGACACTGAGAGTTTTCTTTAGAATAAAATCTTCTGTCTAAAATTGACCATCAAAAATACACATTTATATGGGGATTAAAAATGTATGTAAATATTTTTAAATCTATTTAAATATTTTTATTCAATTTCAAAACTCTTTATGCAAAAAAATATGCTTTAAATCTATAGAAATTTCTCAAAAATGATTTCTATCTCTCTTGCATTTCTATTTGCCGGCGGCAATTAATTTTGTTTTCTGTTGATTCATTTTACGCTGTTTTCCTTTTCTTTGGATTATTTTCTTTCACTTTTATTTTGATAATTATCTGGCACTTTTCTTTTCTGTTTTGTCACATTTTCCTTTTAATTTGGTTTTTTTTTTGTTTGGTATAACTTTAATAAATATTTGAAAATATCGCTAAAATTGTTGTACGCGCGCGAAAATTTGTTTTGATTTTGTTCTGATTGTTATGTGTGATTTTCTGGGTTGGCCAAAAATGTGGCGAGACGAGCCGTTGAGCCGTCAATGCGCTACTGGCACGAGCGGTGAAAATTGAAAATGAAAATCGGAAAACTCGGGCATCGGTAAAATCACAAAAAAAAAAAACAAAACACTGAAGAAAACATGATGAAAACAGCGGCAAATCGGCTGCGCCGCTTTTGTACTTGTGCGTCGGCGTCGATGGCAGCAGCAGAAGCAGCAGCAGCATCGGAGGCGTCGGAAATGTGTCGGAAAATGCTTGAGAAATTTGTATTTAGCTTTTCCCGAACTCTCTGTCGGTGTCGCTCTGCCACTGCCACTGCCTCTGCCTGCGTGTAACTGTTGATTCTTTGTATGGGATTGCTCCAAGAGCACCTCTCTCCCACTCTCTCTCAATCTCTCTCTCTCTCTTGCTGTGGCTGTGTGGGTGGAAAAGCAGCATTTCCGATTCCGTTGGCAGAGGAAAAGTCAACAACAATTGTGGGTGGCTCTCGCAGCGAGAAGGAGAGAGTGTGAGCGGCAATATTGAGCATTGATGAGAGTGAATGAAAATGGAAAGCAAAATCGTGAAAAATGCTAAAGTATAAAACTACGTAATAGTGGCAGATATCCTTATCTATCAGATAAGGCATTGGCTTTCACTCTCAAAAGACAAACAGACCGATTGGCGTCATTCCACGTGCGTTCAATGGGTCGCATGAGTAATTTATGATAAATCATACGCCACGATGTACGCCACGAAAAGGTGTCTGTAATGAAGTTTATATGTTGCAGCCTTCTCCACTTGATATTTGATTCGATGATTGACATTTTGGGCTAGAAATTCCCTTAAATCGCGAAAGGCAATTGCTGACTTTTTGAAAAGTCAGAGAACATGCAAAACATCGCCTGAGACGCCCACAAAAGCATCAACAAATGGCAATTAGAGTGTTGCAAACGCACACACTTTCTCTCTCTCTCTCATTCTCTATCTCTCCCTCTCTTTGTGTTTGTGTCTCTGTTTTCCCCGAATGATATGACATTTAAAGGTTAGAGGTTGAGCATCAATCAAAAAAGCAGGCAGCAGCAACACTAAAATGGCAGCTAAATGCTACAGTTTCATCTAAAAAAACAACAGAAAAAAGGGACTAGCGACTGCTAACTGCGAAGGATAAGGTTGGAAGGCTGGAATACCCTTAAAGGTATAGTGTTCGTAGGCGAGCGAAGAGAAAAATGTGTTAGCTTAGATATTTTACGATTTATATACAATTTTCCAGAGCCATGAAAGAACTTCTGTTTGTCGAATATCATAAAAAGAATTCTTAAGAAATACAACAGTTTTTTCTGGACATACGTTGGCGATAACTTTTAACAGATATACCATAAAGTATTCCTAGTTTATTCATTCCCAAAGTATTCACCATTAACTGCTAGGCCACACTGGGAAAGAGAGAAAGTGTTTTGAGAGAGATAGCGACGCGCTGAGAAACTTATTTTGTTCATTTTTCCATGCCTGCATTTACCATTAGGAAAGATCTACGAAATGTTGAAGCAAGATTAAATAATATTATATGGGAATGTTTAGGAATATGTCATGAGCAATGCCTGTCCTACAAACAAAGCCTCAAAACTAATATACCCGCTCTTTATGAGCGCCAGAATGGCAGCCAGAACATTAACAGCAATAATATTAATACTCATAATAATGAAAGGAGACACAAGTCCTCCGACAGAGATGAAGACATTGACTAGCAAACAGGTGAGTGGGTGGGCAAATCAAGGAAGTAGCAAGGACCTTTTTGGGGTTCCTTAGTCCATTAAGTTTATCAAAAACTTGTTGCTTGCTTTTCGGTTTTGTGTCCGTCTTGAAACGAAGTAAAGTTCTTGTTGTGAACTTACAATTTTCTGGTGGAAATAATCAAACGGAACGAGTGCGGGGGCGTGTAAGAAAACTCTCTCGACTACGATGCTAATAGATGCGATTAAACGCCTCCACATTGTCAGTGTTGCCATTGACTGAAGCGCTGGTTGGTAGCAGCAGGAGGGTGGAGAATCAGGAGGCAAGAAGGGCAACGGTGCTGCCCGGGAGCAGCAGCAGCAGCCACAGAGCTCTAGGAAGCAAATGTTGCACAGTGGTATGGAGTGGGAGCATAAGTAAAGGCTAAAAAAGATTGCCAAAGGAAAAGTAATGGGAGATTTTGTGGAATATTTGCCAACCGAGAGGATGGTAGCAAAAGTGCCTGAAGCGCTGTTTTTAATTGATATAATTCACCTTTTAGTTTTTTTCTTAGATTTAATGTAACTTGAATGAAGAAAGTTTCTTCTCGTCAAACATTTCCTACTGCAAAAATAAGGAACTTATACAAAACCCCCTTTAAAGTCTCAATATTATTATAAATTAACACAATTTTGGGATTTTTCAAATTCTTTGAAGTCAATTGATTACCTAGAAATCTCGACTTATATCCATAATAATGTTTTCTATTAGAGCTCAAACCACTATGAAAGTTAAGCTATACCCCAATTTTCAGTCCCTTTTAGAAATCTGTGGGCTTAAGGCTATTTTTCCCAATCAAATTAATAATTATTCATATCTATGAAAACCTATTCCAAGAAATCGAACACCATTTTCTATCTATCTATCTATTATCAATCTTCGCGACACTGTGCCATGGGTTTCCACTTGACAGGAGCCTCAGTCGGAGAGCATAGATACAGGATGTTTGGTACTTTGCCCTTTACCCGGCTTCCACTTCGACTCTCTGTGGGGCACGGCACGTGTGTGGGCTGTCAATGGTGGCTGCCTGCCGCCGCCGCCGCCGCCACACTCTACAGCCAGCAGCATCTGTTGCTGCCTCAGTCGCTGCCTCTGCCACTGCCACAGCCAGCGGCGGCAGCATGAAAATGGCGGTAAATGGCAGCCGAAAAAAAAAAAAAAAACAGAGACGGGAGACCGTTACATTCGGCAGCCAATTCATTTGAAAAACTTCATGAATGGAATACTGAAGGAAGCTCATCAATGAAATGAAAGCTCAGCGTGACGTCACATGGGCGAAAATGTTATTTTCCTCGAATTTCATTCATGGAAATGCTAAGGTTTCTGGCGAGCGATAAGAAGAGAGAGAAGGAGAGATGGAGAGTAGCGGAACGCGAGAGAGAGTGTGAGAAATAGGTACAGCTTTTATGGCCGTTTGAACTTTGATATTTTTTTTTTTTTTGGACAGAAGTCCTGCTGCTGCTGCTGCTACTCCTGGAGCGACTGCCTGTTGCCTCCACCTCCTCTGGGATTCTCTCAAATGTCACCTGCGACTCCTATTTTAGGCGCTCAATTGTCAAGTTTTAGCTTGGTCCTGCCACTGTGACAGCGTTTAATTAGTTTGTTATTTGTTGCAGCCATTTGGTGGCTTGGTGGCTGCCCGTTTTGCCGGTTGACCTTTCCCAGCTGCGCCCCAAGAGCAACAGCAACAGGAGCAGACGCGCACATGTCTGTGCGGCTTTTAACCTTTAAATGTTGGCAACACGCTAATTGATTTGCCGAATGAATACATTCATATGTCTTTCGTTTGCCGGCGAAATTCTTGTGTGAGTGGGCAAAAGGATTCCATTTACAAATGTCATTTCTGGTTTAATTGTTGTAGGAAATTTTCAAGGGCAAACTACACTATTTAGTGGGCTCTTTGATATTTTATTGGAACAGAAGAAGACAAGAAATTTTGGTTATAGTGGTTCAGTAAACATAAGTTTGAAAGCTAAATTAGAAATGTCGTTTCTAGTGTTAAAAGTTAGCCAACACTGCCAACACTTTTACGGAATTATCCAACTCTAAACACTATTAACCAGCACTGGTATTGCTTCGTTCTAAATACTCTCTTTTGTTAAACGTAGTTCTGTTAAATGTAAAGCTAAATTTTTTTTGATAAAAATGGGCTTACCAACACTAGTTTATTTATGGGAATTGTGTTGGATAAAGGTACCTCCCGTTTCTGTTATGAAACCCTTAAAACAACCTCGAAATGTCGAATTCAGCCTTACTCATTCCTCTCTTACTTATAAAACATTTCTCAACACTAGAAAATTACAGCTAAATTATTTTTACTACATATGTATTTCCTGGTTCTAATATCTTAATTATGGTCTACTATAAAATAATTGCGATTTATGAAGTATTATCATCTAGAATCATATTCATAATTCCTAAATTAAGTTTTATCAATAAAAATATATTCATAGCCCCTCTCTGCCTGCCTATGGGCAACCAAACAATACCCAATATTGACTTGAATTAAAAGCCATTAGATGCAATAACCCAAAGCCGCCAAACGAATGGCAGAGCCCCCAATCGCCCAGCTTAACCATTAATATACTTGTTTAGAGTTGTCGAAGTATAAGCCTGGGCAATAGGCGCATAGCCAAAGCTACTTACCAGCCATAAAAAGGCAATCAGATGTCGTCGATTCCAGTGTCGGCGCACGCAAGCCTCCGCAGAGCTCCGAGCCACAGAGTCAGTACCCCAAAAAGAATCAAGATTTAGCGCGTATATACATACGTGTATATGTAAGCAGGAGAAGCGTCTCTGGGCTTTCCTCAGGAGATGCCGGCAGAAGAAGAGTCCGGGAAAGCGGGGCAGCGCGACTGCGTTTGTAATTAATTACGAGGCGGGCCCAAAAGGCAAACGGCGACGCACGCGCGACCGACCGACTGCAGCCGGGAGGGTACCGATCGGGCAAACTGGCAACTTTAGATGGCCAACAGGCGATAAGACCAGGGCTAGAACGTGGCTAGGCTCAAAGGAAGCGCAACTCGAAATCTTGGCGGCTACTGCGATTACGCGGCGACAACAGCAAACAGCAGCAGTAGCAGCGGCAGTAGCAGCAGCGAACGGAGCGGGGGTATCTCTCTCGGATCTGTCGGAGAACGCGAACTCGTTCCAGGATTTCCGAGATTATGCAATTTTGATTTGAAACACGCAATTTTGATGGCCAGGCCAAGATATTGGGTTACCCCTTCGGATGATATCTGTCTCTCGTCTCTCCTCTCTCTCTTTTGGGGTTTTAATTCCCTTAACGATCTCATGCACAGGGCGCGTAAATCTGTGAATCTAGGGAGGAGCTTAGCTGCTGCTTGATAACTTATTAGACGATAATTTCCTTCCGGTTGCGTTTTTTTGCGATTCGACTCGTCCGACTGTCGGCGGTATAAAAAAAACTGTGGCTATGGCTTTGCTTTTGCTCTCTCTGCTGCTGCTGCTGCTTCTGCTGGTGCTGCTGCTGGTGCTGCTGCTGCCTTGGTTTCACTGTATCTGTGTGGTAGTATCTGTGTGTTTGTGTGTGTGTGTGTCTTAAAATCGTGGGCCGATCATCGCCTTACTTAGAGATCTGTCGCCCAGTTGAGATGTGTCTTGGTGTTGGGGATGTGTGTGGGCACAACTGTACATGCAGCTGAGGCAGCAGCAGGCAGCAAGCCACCACAGACTGTCTGTCCCTGTCGCACGCATGCGTGGCACTGAGCCTGAACACCACACCACACACCACAACCCCCGCAATGTGTGTGTGTGTGTGCTTCCAAGTGCTTTTCTCCGGCTGAGCTTCTATCTCTCCTCAAAAGTCACACAAAAAGCAACACCTTTGGATTACATTTTAGTTGCAGAATACCCTGGAAAGTAGAGTCTATTAGGGTTAGAGGTGATGATATTTAAATTGATTCTAACGATGGATAGGTACTAAAAGCAAAGTTATTTCCCCCCATGGCGCAGGGCTTTCAAATTAAATTTTCTTCCTTATAAAATTCCCATAAATTTCACTTCTTTTTGGTCAACATTTTTTGCAATATTTGTGTTCTAGTACAGTCCCACTAAAAGGTATCTTTTATGCCGTGTTAAACCTTCCTATTCGTTTTCCCAGCTAGAATATATGTGTGTATGTGCCTGTGTGGTGTGTGTTCATTGTGTGGGCTTTTCTTCTAGCTGCAACCCACACACAGCCAACGGCCAACAGCCAACACACATGCATATTGACGTCTGTTTAGCGGCTGATCCACAACCCTCTCTAGGCTCCCACCCAATGCTGGCAGGCAGGCAGGATTCTTGCCCTTAATGCACTTGCGTCATTTGGTTGCAGTTTTCGAGCGAATCACGATTGCCCACATATATAATTTGAGGGTTTTCGTTGGAATTAACAAAGTTCGTTGGACAGTCCTGAAAGCTTGCAGGCAAAAGCTGCAGGCAGCAGCTAAAAATAAAACCCAACGAAAGCTGTCAAGTGTGCGACAAAAAAGCTTCATTGGCTACCACCTATAGGAATAACAGCAATAAGCTTTTACACCCACACAAGTACACAGAGGGAGGCTCACACACATTTGTATGTATGTATGTATGTACGAGGAAAGAGAGAACCACGCAGAGAGAGAGGGAGAGGAAGAAGCCAAAGAGAGCGAGATGTCAGCGTCACGTGGGTGGCTTCATTGATAAATTTTTCGAAGGTGCCTCTGCCTTCGGCCTCGCTCTCTCTCTCGCTCTTGCCTGCAAATTGAATTGCAAAAAAAATGTTGCAGCTGTACTTTAAAATAGCCAAAGATGAAGAGAAGAAAGAGTTGGGGAGCTAAAGAAAGCGAGCAAGACAGAGCTAAAGACAGAGACAGAGGTACAGGTACCAGGCCTCTCTTTATTTTTGCTCCACTTTAGATGACATCGTACTCTCGCATGCATGTGGTGTGGGTGTGGGTGTGGATCATGCTCTCAGGCATTAGATTGTGAATGAAATTGAATGGAACAAAGAAAGAGACGGATAACTGAATGGAACACAGACAGAGACAGACTAAAGCCAGAGCCCAAGAGACAGAGACGAAACAACAGTCAGAGCAAAAAGAGCTGGAAAACCGCCCACTAAGCCGTGATTTGCCGTGTGACTCTCTCTCTACCTCGATACCTCCCTCCCTTCCCATTGGTTTCTAATCATATTCAAAAGTCGACCCTCCCTGCAGCCCCCCTGTCAGCCCATGGCCCCTAAACTTCATTCACAGAAAATGTTTAAATATGGAAACTTGTCAATTAGTTCAAGTGCCTGCCTGTACACTGAGCGAAACGAAAAGGCTATCCCCAACCGAGTCAAATTAATTATACTTACGCCCACACACACACACCACATCGATTCTCTGACACTTTGTACCCTTATTAACTGTAATTGCTCATTCAGAAATGACACACGAAACACACTAATAAACAGAGCAGGGGGTGGGGCAGAGCATTAGCTCACACCTTATACAGAACATATGTATATTGTACTAGCAGAGCTGCGCTCACTAAATGCATTTAATGTTTAGGAATTCATCGAAATTAAGCAATGATATTTAAAAGCAATAAAATTTACTTACACAAATTCCAATTTTTAATGGAGGTTTTACTTTTACCAGGATATTTACTTTACTTTTTGGGATATTTAATGGGGCTCTATACCATATAGTTTTCGTGATAAATGAAAGTACACTGTTGGGTTTTAAGCTAGGAATTGAAATTTAACTAAATCAGAAAACAAATTGAGATTCTTAAGAAATGATGGCTAATTGTTAATTAATTTCGATAACTATCGATAGATTTCATAAATATAGATGCCTGCCGATTTACATTGATAGTTTTCTCGTTGATAAAATCGAGAATTCTATCGATATCATCAATACCAATCGATACAAATTTAAATAACTAGATGCAACTTTCATAATATTTTTCGTAATCGCTGTGCACTTTTAATTCAAGTGCATGTCTTAATCTGAAGTCTAATCAAAAGCTTATTTATTTCAACACTAGCCCCAAACCCAACTCTACCGAACCAATCATTTAATTGAAAACTTACAACATCATTCAGCAGCAATCGAGAAAACCCTTGAGTGAAGTGTACAACACAACACAACACAAAAAAAAAAACAACACCACTCGATTCCTAGTCTTTACCCACCCCACCCCACCCCGTCCATCTTCCAATCGCGCCTGATTGACCATGTTAAATCCTTCAGCACCAACTGACGCTGGCTTCCGTTTTTAACGCCATTTAAATGAATTAATGAGAGACGCTTAAGTCCTACACTCAAGAGTCATCCCCTCGCCCCTCCAGCGAACAACAACCAGTAGCCAAAAGAGAGAATACCTTTTTGGCCAGACAACGTTGTCTACGGCTCTGTGGAGAGTTCTACTGAGAGTTGTACTGCTGGCTGCTGGCTGCTGCTCATTAAAAGGCAACTCCTCTGCCATTTGGCTGTCAGTCACTCATTTAGTCACTTAACCATTCATTCGTTCCTTCGTTCATTTGGCAGACAATTTACAAAACGCGTTCCATTCATTAGCATTGACTTGAAAAAAAAAAAAAAAACGGCCTGTGTTGCCTGGACAACTCCTTTGACTTTTTAGCCTCTTGCAGCCTCTGGTCAGAAGATGTTAACAAAGTGTTTAGTTAGTGTTTAAAATTAGTATTCCCTTAGGATATTACAATATATTTTATTTCTTTCTTTTGTGGCAGCAAACCAACTATTGCTCTCCCTCTCTCTCTCTTTCTTTTTGTTTTGTATCTTTTTACCCAAAAATCATGCTGGTGGTCTGCTTATACGATATTTTGGAATCATTTAATAGCTACACCCAAAGAAAATTTCATTTTTCTAGTCATAAATATCCAAAAAAAAAAAAAACAACAACATTTCAATTGGAGGTCAGACGCTGCTCTGCTGTGCGTGCGGCTTTTGTTTTCATCAGATGTATCTGCCATCTCTTATGTTTACTGATAGCCACAGATACTATATATATTTCGTTGACACTTTTATTTCGCTTTTGCTTTTTGTATTTTCTGTGTGGCTGATTTACGATAACGCGTTTCATTCATTTTATGCAAATTTGTAGAAATATTTTACCTTTTTATTGGGCATTTTCTCAAATTTATATTGTTTTATTGGTGGGCTGGGATGCCACACAGGTCGTGGGGTCTACGATTACCTCGAGTCCACACTACTGCGTTTTGTATATTGTAGATCTACTGCCGCTTCTATCTTGTAGATATTGTTTTTTGGCGGCTTGAATCTGGGTAGATCTTTGAGCGTCTCTCATAACAATCATAATCCAATGGATCTCCACCATTCAAAAACTTATAATTCCTCAATTAATTAAAGTGACACCATGGCCGTGCCTGCGTTTATGAATTTATGACCCCACAACAAAAAAAAAAACCAAGATACTGCATAATACTTGTATCAATTTTCCAGAGCAGAGCGCAGCGTAGCAACACATTTGCAATTTCAATTAGTGCAACGCCCTCGACTGTGGGGGGAAACTATGTCACATAAATCATGGCATTCCCTGGGATAATCCCCGAAACCCAAACACCCAACCCGATCTCTGGCGCTGACGCTGACTCCGTGCAGCTGTGGGCTCTGCGGCATGGCGTCAACTTGCTCCTCAGTCACTTCCTGTGTGTGCAAAAAAAAAAAAAAACCAGCAACGAAAAAGTCAGCATAACTAAAATTTAAATAAATAAATTGAGTTACCACCTCGAAAAAAGGTGCTTGTCAACAAGTTGGAATTATGCGGACAATTTTTGTAAGTTTTGGCGAGGGTATTATGACTTTGAGGAGATTTTTGTAAGCCAGAAAAGATTTATTCTTAGAATTTGTGGCCCTGAAACCATAGACTGACAAAGAACTAATCAACTGTATTTTATTGGCATGCCCTGAGATCGATTGAAACATTTTGTTTAATAAACATTTTTCTTTCTAAGAAAATTGCATTCGAATAAAGTATCTCCAGTTTCTTGACTTAATTCATAGTTTATTGCTCATTTTTGGCATGTACACGATCCGTTAGGGTAGAGCGTCATGCAACAGCTCACCTCGGTTGTGTTAGATATCCATCTGGAATCCACTCGTAACATGCTTTGGCTTCGACGTTACTTGTGACACTTTATGATGGCATTCCCTGGGATATTCTCAACCCACAGCCAAACCCAATGGCACAATCTACTTTTAAGTGTATTCAAATCTTCATTCCTCAAAAACAAACTTCCTTTTCTGGCCCTTGTATTTGTTATAGTGTAAAAGTAATTGCCAGTTGTGTTGCCAATTACGAAAATTTCACTATTAACTCAATTGTTGGTTCTATGCAAATGCTTACCTTCAGCATTTATCCCATAGTTCACTCCACTCCACTCCA